CGCCGTCGTCGTCGACGTCGACGTCGACCCGGAGATACGTTTTAAACACCGTTGGAATCTGAAACAAGGGAAGGTTTGCCTTTTAGTTTATCGATCGACTGCAGCGGTTAATTAACGTTCTCCGATATTTGCGAGACGCGTCAGATTCGAAGGACGAAGGAGAGATCGAGCTATTTTTTAGCGTTTAACGCGATCGAGGCTCGTTACGAAACGGTAACAGCGATACGATCAAACTCGTAGATGCTGTCGGGCGAACGAGGGCGTAGTGGCTATGAAAACGCGTACGCTATTGTGGAGGGAATAAAGGGAAAGAAAGGCATTACGGCGAATGCGCTCTTGGAATGTGCAGGGTGAAAGGTGGTTTAAACGCTTGGAGATAACGAGAACGAGATAGGCTGATCGATTTTGAATCAATTTTAATTAACGTATTATTTGTTCGTTTTCATTAACATGCGACATATATTAATTTTTTTCTGATGCAACTGTATCGAAAGGAGATACATTTGGAATCAATTTTAAACCCTTGGTGCACAATTTGTTTGTCAGGTGCGTCAGTCAAGACTAACTGTTCATAGTTATAATATTAAAACTAAAATGAAAAAGAAAATTAAAATATTATCCTTGATAATGCAAATTATAGTTGTACTTAAATTTTAAGTTGAAGAGTATTACTTTGAGTAAGATTTGTTATATTTCAACTGTGAGTGCGACTCGAGTGAGACTCGTCAAAGAACAAGGGTCGAGGAGTTAATTAACAAGAGGTCAATTAACATTGATTTTCAGTCAAGGGGTTAATTAACATACAATTTTTTCATTTTCATAAACATGCAACATTTTTTCTCTTTGCTGAAAGTATCAAAATATGAACAGTGCATATGAATGCTACATATGGGGTTGCGTTTTGAAAATACAAGGGTTAGAACATGTGAGTTATTATGAGAGACATGCGTTAAGAAGCAATTTCGGAACTAACTGGTCATTGCGAGGTTTCCGTTGTGACGCGTAAATCGGACGAATTAATTTGCATCGGCCGGCAATTTGGAGAAGTCGATTTATCTCGAGACTCGCGTGCGCCCAGCGCTATCGTTGTCGCCCGTTATTTCCGTTTCCGGCACGCCTCACGATTTAAACGCTTAGCTGAAGAAAACCAGAACACAATGTTTGGAATACCAAGTTACTATCTGCCAACATCTTGGCCCGAAACTTGAAATAAACATCATGTTTTTTATTACTCAACTAATTTCTATTAGCAGCGTTGATTAGCTTTCCACACGTTTGTGAAAAGTGTCCATAGGAAGTAAAGAAAAAGCAACGAGGATCGGACAGTTCGATATCGATTGGTAGGTGGCCACTGAATGGATCCTCGACCTGCATTCGGTGCTCGAGGACAATGCATCGAGGTCCCTTTTGTTTGTCGGTCAACACCGAAGGCATCGACGTCGACGAGTGGCTGGCGTATTGCCAGCGGCTAGCGCACCGCTAGCGCCTGCATGTATACACGATTCGCGCGTCGAGTTGGACATCGACGCCTCAATTATCGACGAGCGATCGATCCTTCTCCTTCTCGCGTTACTTCCCCAATTCCGCATCGGCCCGGAACAAAGTCACGAACGATCGTGGATGTTCGGAGAAAAATCCGGTTGGACCAATGCCAACGTTTGCCCTTACGAATCGTGCGCGAAACGGGCCACGAAAATGATTGGGGTCGAACAACGTTTCTTCGTAAGAGAACAAAAGCGCAACGGAGTGAATCGCTCTCCTGTTCGATTTAATCCCTTGGAGGTCGCGAAAAACACGGAAGAGGCTTAGTTCTTTAGCTTGCCACTAGGCGGCGCGGGAGAACCAACTTTCTCGCTTGTACTCAATAAGCTTTCCTTCCACAACTAGTTCTTGTAGATTGCTACCATATTTTTTTTGGTATATTTTTATTTCTGAATGGTACTTTTAACAGTAGATGTAAAATACACACAAAAGACAGTGTTATTATAATATTGTTATAAGTAACAATATGTAGGAGCACGTAGAGGACAACACAGTGCAATACTATGACAGCGAAGTGCACTTACATTCTGTCAGAACGTGATGGATCTTATATTGAAAATCACTGTATTTACTGCCACAGTTAATTAACTCGTATCATCATTGTTCCAATTACTTGTAGCGGACGGGAAAAAAGAGGATCTCTCCCAAAAACCTTTCACAACAATCTCTATGGTTTCTACTCCTCTCTTTGGTTTCTACCATGCAACCCGCACTGAATGCACGGGTTAGACTATCTTGACGAGTCTACCGGTAAACGCTCTCTCCCGTTCATTTATCTATCCTTCCCAGCCAAACCAAAGATCGACAAAGATAAAAAATTGGCCGTTCAAAGGCGCGTACGGATGGTGAACCATGAGGAAAGGGTTGAGGCGGAAGGTTGACGGGTTCGAAAGAGTTTGACGAGGTCCCACCGCGCCGGGACGCTCGAGTTGCTCGGCTATTTGCGTAGACGGGGTTACGCATCGCCTGCACCGTTAATTCCCATAGGCTGTTCCATTTTCGCTTTACGTTTGGTTTGTCCGTGTCCGCACCGAAATAGCCCGATCCCTATAGGTGATTGCGCGACCGTAAATTCTGGTTGCCTCCATCTCGCGATACACGGTCGTTCATTATCGAAAATCGGTAGGTCCGAAGAAAAATCGCGGTTCAGCCTGGAGGAAAGCGCACGGAAAACAGAGTCGGTAATCGATATCCGCGTTTCTCCTACGTGCCCCGACAGCTCGGACGAGTATTAATTAACCGACGATCACGGTGCTCGCGATATTGCTCGTCTCGACGACTTTTAATTACGCGCACGACTTCGAAATCACCGACTCTCGAATTGAATTTCCATCGAGCGGACGTTGCGATCAATTTCGAGTGGCGTAAACGGGCGCGAAACGGAACAAAGTTACCGCGGAAACGTCCAGCTGTGCGTTCGGACGCGAGCATCAATCTCTCGCTGGCAACGCACCGGGAACAAAGGAACAACGAAAGTCAGAGCGTGTCGCTCGCGGTGCTGCTTTGCCCGGAAATCGATTTTCCATCGAAACTTGTCCGCGAACGTTTTCATCCGCGTTTCTAGGAAACTTGATTTCCTGCGTGTCGTTTACCGATACAAACGTCGCGATTTCTGCGTCCCTACACCGGTATCTATCGAGAAAAGGCTCGTAAAGCTATCAAACGGTAAACCAACGGGGAGTAACTCGTGAACGGAAGCGGAGTATATTTTATAGACACGGTTAAATTTAGCGCGGTTCAATGGAATCGTTGTTTTACCAAAACCACGATCAGCCCGTTCTTTACTCCGATATATTCTTGGAAGCGGAACGCGCGTGGCTTTACTCGGTCTTGAATCAACTTATACCTTCTACAACTTCGATAAATATTCTAAATATGTTGGTTCAACTCCTTGTACCGAGTCAAAAGGTATCAATAAATATTCAAAATATGTTCGCTCCTTGTACGAAGTCAAGTATCATAATTTCGTGATGATTTTTTCGGGAAAAAGATTCCTGACTTTCATTTTCAGTGATGGGACTATAACCATCTCCATACCTTTTGACTGTTCTAAGAAACAGGAAATGAATTGGGAGGTGATTTGGCGCACGTGTTTCCACGTCTGGGAAGGTTTTCTCGTCAGAGTTTTCTGGTAATCGATAAGACCGTGGTCTCGAAGAGAACGATAGCATTGTGCGAGGGAAACTGTCGGCAAAATAAGCGGAGGAAACCCGACAATCCCGGATCGCGACGCTCTCGAGAATGCTGTTTCGATCGGCATCGATGAGTCATCCCCTAAGACATCCTCGCAAGAAAGTTGGGAAAGTTCGCAGGGTGCGATGACTCACTCGAGATTCACCCTCCGGACCACTCGGAAGGTCGATCGCACATAAATTTCATTTCCTACTGAATATTTTCGCTCGGTGATGATTATTCAGAGAGATGTAATTACGGACGAAGTTATCATTGGATATTTTCAGTCCAACGCTGGAGAATGAAGATTGGTTGAGAAATTGAATCAGAAGAGGTTCGTCAGAAAAGGCTCGTCAGAAATGAAGGTTTGTAAAGATCGAAGATAAAGAACGTTCCTAGACGGGACGATTTACAGTTGGCGCGAATCGGCTCTGTTTCTCGACAGTGCAACGATTATTAGCGGGCAGCGAGCAAAACCCTCGTCCAACCCTCCTTCGTCGACCGCTTTTATCGCAATCCCTTTCGACAGTCGTCGACCCTCGCTTCTCTCCCTTCCGCTTTCTCCTCTCTTGCCCCGTGCGTTATCCCCTTCGATCGATATCCGATGCCCGTGCCGATAGCCCCGAGTACCAAAATATCGGTCTTTAAATCGAACAGGCTTCCAGATAACGCCATCCCGAATCGTGGAAAAAAACGATTCTCTCGATCGAGGTTGCCAAGCTAATCTTTCAAACAAGCTGCTCGTATTTCCGTTTTAACCCCTTCGTGCCTTGTAACGTATAATGCGCGATTTATTTTCGAAATGGAGTCGTGTTGCGTCGAGGGACGCGTGGATTTTAACGGTGATATTTGAGGATCACGATTAATGGAACAATTGAAATACTGTAGGTTTGATGGACAAGCTCTTGATGTTGCTACATTGTGACTCAACTACATTGTGTTGTAGGATTTATTCTTGCGAGACAATGTGGAGGAACTTAAAATTAGACAGTAAAGTTGCAAGCTTAATATGGTATTCTAATTCAACATTGTGGACAACCCCCTGTTGATGTTGCTACATTGTGATTCAACGTCGTAACATTATGACTCCACGTTGTAGTCTTGCTAGACAATACAGTTGCACTTAAAATTTGACAGTAAAGTTGCAACTTTAATATGTTATTCTAATGCAACATTGTGGTGAACCCTCTATTAACATTGCAACATTGTGACTCAACGTCGTAAGACTTCTTCTTGCAAGACAATATACTTGCACTTAAAATTTGATAGTAAAGTTGCAAGTTTAATATGTTATTCTAATGCAACATTGTGGACAACCCCTTGTTGATGTTGCTACATTGTGAC